CCACCCCAAATTGCTGACCCACAGAATAATAGGCTAAATAGTTAGCTGTTGTTATGAGCCACTAATTTGAGGGTTGGTTTGTTACACAGCAAATTCTTACTGATACAGAGAGTGAACATATAATGTTGATTATATTGGATTTTCTTTTCTATCTGGAAAATGAGACTATTTTTAACTTTCTGAGAGTGAACTGAAAAGTATGTGATTGAGAGTGTCTGAGTTTGGGGAAAAAGGGCACTTCAGTGCTAATGTCTCACCCTCAGGTATGTCCCTACCAGTTATTTAAACTGTTGTGCAGTTTCTAGAATCTTACTGAGTTCTAAGCATTTTTACTTTATTGTATGTTTCTTGAGCCTGAGAATTATGGTTGGTCTATCTTCGCAGTGAGATAATATAACTAGCTATATTATGTATGCATGTAAATGCACACATATGTATGTGAGAAATAACTTTGATAATTAAAAACTAGTGAAAAACATCTTCTCACCTTATCAAAACAATTTGTTTTATTTTTCCTATACAACGATTGCCTGGAGCAGTAACATTTGCTTCACAACATAAAAATTTTTAAATTGCTACTATAATGAATGTGAAAATACTTTGAAATAGTAAAAGGAGAGAGATGCAATGTTTGGGCTAATGGGGTACATGCGAGAGATTCTCCAAGAACTTGGAAGTAAGGTAAAGACATGAAAGTACACAATCTACCCTTATTGAATTAGTGCTGGAATAGTCTCCTTCCAGACCTACACTCGATCAGTAGAACTAAAATGACTCCTGATGGAAGGAAAATACGGGTAGAGGGCTGGGCATGAAGAGAAGGTTGTTTATCAAAATCCAATATATAAAAAGGAGAAAGATGGTGAAATAAGGTAGAAATTATGAAAAGTTGGTGGGTTAAGGATACTTTGCTATTATTCATTTTCATTTGTAGCCATAGAGTTGCACATGGTATTTTTTCATGATGATGTTAATCTCTTTGTGTTGTAGCTATGTCTCATTCCCAGGCTTCATGACATTTTTTGGCTTCTGCCCTTTTCCTTTATCAGAATCATACCATATTTTATCTATTCTATTGATAGTTTTAAAGAATGAGCTTTTGAAATCATTTCTCCTTTCTTCTATTTTTCTCCATTTAAAAAATACTTTTAAATTTCCTTTTCTTGAGGCACCTGCATGGCTCAGTCGGTTAAGTGTCCAACTTTGCCCCAGGTCATGATCTGGAGGTTTGTGAATTTGAGCCCCACAACAGGCTCTGTGCTGACAGCTCAGAGCCTGGAGCCTGCTTCTGATTCTGTGCCTCCCTCTCTCTCTGCTCCTCCCCTGCTCACACTCTTATCTCTCTATCCACCCCCTCAAAATATAAATAAATAAATAAACATTAAATTTCCTTTTCTTAACTGTTGTTTAATTCGGCTTTTCACATTTAAGTTTTTAGATGAAAATTTATTTGCCAGATATTGTTAAAATAATGAAGGCAATTAAGGCTATAAATTTTCCTCTGAATATAGCTTTAATATGTTCTATAGGCTTTGTTATGGAGAATTCTTTTTTATTGCTTTCTAGGCAGGATTTAATTTCCTTTTTAATTTCCTTTTTGATCAAAGATTACACAGAAGCATGCTGCTTCATTGTCAAGTGATTAAGATATTTTTGGTTAACATTTTATTATTTATTTCTAATTTTACTAGCTTCTGATCAGAGAATATAGTTTATAAAAGCTCTCTCCATTTACAAGTTTCTGTTGTTGGTGTTGTTGTTTTTTCTTTTTTCTTTTTGTAAGTGACCACATATATGGCCAGTCTTTAAAAATATTCCATAAGTGGGGCACTTGGGTGGCTCAGTTGGTTAAGCATCTGACTCTTGGTTTCAGCTCAGGTTATGATCCCAGGGTCATGGGATCGATCCCTACATTGGGCTCTGCGTTGAGTGTGGAGCCTGCTTAAGATTCTCTCTCTCCCTCTGCCCCTCTCTCCTGCTTGCACACTCTTCTCTGTCTCTAAAACTAAAATTAAAAATAAATTTTAAAAAGTGTTCCGTGAGTATTTGAAAATGTATGTTCAAAGATAAGGTTACATATCAACTTGTTTATTAGTTGTATATTTAATTTGTATCCCTTATTTTTTGAAGTAGATATTTCAGTTCTGAGAGAAGTGTATTGATGTTTCCACCATAATTATATTTCTAGCAAGTACTTGCTTTTAAAATAAATCTAATTATTGAGCTACTGTGGTGTTGGCTCATCCCAGTTATGACTGCTGCTTCTCCAGTTGTACCATTTATCATTATATGTTGTCTCTTTTGATCCTATTTCGTTCTTTTACCCTTAAATTATACCTAGTTAATATTAATATTGCCATTTTTACTTCCATTTTGTTTCCATTTTCCTGGTATCTTAGCTAATTCCAGTTATCTTTATGTTACATTAAAATTATTTTTTAAAGTGTTCTCTAATGTAACATCTGGCTGTGTTTTGTTTTGTTGCCTCTGTCTTTTCATGGTAGAATCTAATTATTTCACATTTTATGCAGTGACTGATATACCTAATGCGCACGTATGTATATGTAACATGCATGTTATATATATGCAATATATATATATATTGCTTACTCTTTTTCATCTTTATAAGCTTATGAATTTTCTCATTTGTTGTTGGAATAGAGTTTTCTCAGTGCTTTTCTCAGATGGGTTCAAAGGGATATTCTTGCCAATTCTTTCCTCTCCTAAAATAGCTTTTGTTCACCCTGAGAGATCAATGATATTTAAGCTGGATATAAGTTGATTCAACTTTTATCTAATGTTGGTGATAAGACATTCTTTTATAGGGGATTTTTTCTGCCTTTAAGAGTGTTACATGTTCTTTTTCCTTAGAGATCGGGAAATATTTTTTTCATGATATACCTGTAGATATGTTTTCTTTATTCAGCTTGAATCTTAATGAGCATTTTACATTTATAGGTGTTGGGATGCAAGAGGGTCTGTACCTCTATGGGCTGCAGTGTAGAAGTAGGCAGGTTGGTACCTCCCACATCTCCCATCCCACTATAGTCTCTCACCTGAAGGAAGGAAATATCCAAATTCTTGTTCATCTCCCACTTGACCTTTTGGGAACTCAGCACATTCACACTGAGTTGACAACAACATTCCCTTAAGGGGCACAGGTCTTTGTATGCCGAGTTGGGGCCCCCCCCCCCCACCAGAATCCTGTGTTTTAGGTCCTTGACTAGGCTATGATGCGATTCTCTACTTGTTCAGCTTATGAGGTCAAAAGGCCCACACCTTTATCTGTGTTCAGAACCTCAACCAAAGCCAGAGTCGTACTGCATTCATTTGCTCTTTGGCTTGGGAGAGGCAAAGGGATTGGAACTGGGAACAGTGACCCAAGGCCACCATGCTAGGAATGCCAGGTTCCCAAGCTTCTTCCCACTTGGTTTGAATGATAGATATCGTTAGCCATTTAGGGCAAATGAGGCTGTGTGAGCTGGGCCAGTGGCTTTTTAACTTCAGTGTGCATATGATTTTCCTCTGGATCTTACTAAAATGTGATACTGTTTCAGTAGGTTAGGGATAGGGCTTCAAATTCTGCATTTCTAACATACTTCTAGGAGAGACATGACAGTGCTCCAAGCACTCTGAGTACCAAGGCCTTAGAGCCATGAAACAAATGGCTTCTACTTAATCAAAGCAGATGGTTGTATTGAAAATGTAAACAAAAAGAGTTTAATACATTGTCATTAGCAGAATCTATTCATCAGTGGTGATGATTAATGTCTGGTAGGGGTGTACAACCTAGTAAGACTGCATGCAATTCATAATAATTTATCATAGATCCATCAGTCAGTTTTTTCCATATCTTTGTGTCATTCTCTCCTGATAAATGTTTATTCTTTTTAATCTGTGTTAAAGGTTTTCTTGGATTAAATAAGAAAAATCAGTAATTTTCTTTGTGAGATTATGTTATACATGCCATTTTGAGAAACTCTTGTTATTTGTTCATTTCTTCAGCAACTATTTATTGAGCACTTATTGTGTGCCAGAGTTTACTCTAAGTGTTGGAACAACATTTGACTAGATTGCATGTGCAATGGAGCTTTGTTTATTAATTGACTGATTGGTTTTTTTGGCCATTCAGTATGAATAAGCCCTCTTGTTAGTGTCACCCAATTATCTTCTCAGAAGTTGCCTCCTTTTCAAGTTGGTACAGTCATGCCATGATGGTAAGAATTGTATCATGTTCTCTTACAAAGAACTTGGAGTGTTCTTTGAAAGCTTTTTCTTTAGCTTAGCTATACAATGACATCTCTTGGGGTGGGCGTGGGGAGGGTAAAATATCAAATGTTTTGGTCCCACCTCCAGGTATTCTGATTTAATTGCTCTGTGGCATGGCCTGAATATCAGGTTTTTATAAAGCTCCCCACAGTAATTTTAATATTCAGCCAAAATCAGGCAACCCCTTCCTTAGATCTTTACTCTTGTGGACCCAGTACAGTCAAGCAGTGGGAATATAACCTCAGCTTGGCCAGCCAGCCTCCCTCCCAGAACCCTGAATCTTGATAGCAGATGGAAGAACCGTTCTGCAGCAGCATCCAAACCCAACCATGCAGCAGTCTGTACTCTGTTCTCTCTCTGTATCTGTCATTCCAAGCCTTTGAACTCCCCATACCTTATCAGTAAGTAACCCTTTTGCTTAAACAGAGCAGAGTTATTTTTTATTGCTGACAGCCAAAGAATCTCAACGGAGACAATCCATGAGCTTTTCATTCCTCTGTTTAACTGCTGAGGGCCCTCAATCTATTGCGAGGATCATGGTCTCAGAACCTGGTATCGTGCTCCTTCCTGCGCATGAGGAAACTCTGAAGAAGACAGAAGTCAAGAGAATCTCCCAGGTTCCTATCACAGGGGTTAGGGACTTAGAATTCACATTTGTACCTTCAGGTCCATTTCTTTGCTCATCCGATTATTACCACACTTAAACAAATCTGTTTTTCATTTGTTTTCAGAAAAAATGTAAAGATGACAGAAAAGGTGCAGCTTAATTGGATGGACAAGTCAAAAATCATATGACTAAGCAGAAAACCTGGGAAATGTGCCATGTTACCAGACAAGGTGAGCACAGGCACCTGCTTACAGCAGAAACATGCAGAACTCTCTGTCTCAAGTATACATTAGCATGGAGACCAAACTGTAAATGGATGAAGAAGACATACGATATTATCAGTTGCTTTCTGCCATTATTATTTCAGCCTGGTGTTTCAGATCAGGTTCCCTGGAAGCACCTGATTTATTGAAGACAGGCTCCCAGGACATCCTGTGGGGAGATGAGGGAGGAAAGCAGGATGTGATGGGGCAGGGGAAACTACTGAAGAACAATGTGGTCACAGCTGGAGTCTGGTCTCAGCCTGATCTCACAGGGAGCTCTGGAGTGTGAATGAAATCACAGAGTTGAGGCAAGGGGGCTGGCCTTTTGTGCCCCCATATCAATCAGTCATTGGTAATTCTCTCAAGTATTTCTGGGGGAGCAGGCAAATTCTGTGGAGAAGGGGACAACCATGACTTCCTAGCAGCCAGTACTCACAGGAGCTAGAATATGGGGGGACCTGATGGTGAAGGTCATCCAACAGCATCTTCTACACCTGGATAAACATTGTTGGTTGCACACTGCCTTGGTATTTACATTTGTGAAATGCAAGAAATATTCCCATAGTGCACGTAACTTCAACACTGAATTATTTTGTATATCAATAAATCAAACCATATTTCTTTCTTTGCATACCTCAAAAAATGCCTTCTTTTTTTTGTTCTTCTCTTTTTTTAAAAAAAATTAAACCCAAGTTAGTTAATATATAGTATAATAATGACTTCAGGAATAGAATTTAGTGATTCATCACTTACATATTAATACCCAGTGCTCATCCCAACAAGTGCTCTCCTTAATGCCCATCCCCCATTTAGCCCATCCCCCACCCAATACCCCACCAACAACCCTCAGTTTCTTCTCTGTATTTAAAAGTTTCTTATGGTTTGTCTCCCTCTCTGTTTTTATCTTATTTTTGCTTCTCGTCCCCTATGTTCATCTGTTTTATATCTTAAATTCCACATATGAGTGAAGTCATTTGATATTTGAGTTTTTCTGACTGACTTATTTCGCTTAGTATAATACACTTTAGTCCCATCCACATTGTTACAAATGGCAAGATTTCATTCTTTTTGATTGCCGAGTAATATTGCATTGTATTTATATACTATATATACTTAGGTAGGTAGGTAGATAGATAGATAGATAGATAGATAGATAGATAGATAGATAGATAGGGATATCTATTCATCAGTTGATGGACATTTGGGACCTTTCCATGCTTTGGCTATTGTTGATAGCGCTGCTGTTAAACATTGGGGTGCATGTGCCCCCTCAAATCAGCATTTTTGTATCCTTTGTATAAATACCCAGTAGTGCAATTGCTGGGTCATAGGGTAGCTCTATTTTTAATAATAATTAAAAAAAAACCCTTCTTAATGCACTGGCTGTTGTTTAAGAACTCACCTTTATCTTAAAACTTTGATTCTAGTGGAAACGCAAGGTCTAACCAAGGAATACCACCTTGAACACTTTCATACACCCTATTTAGTAGAAAGGACATTTATTGATAAGCTAAGAGCTGAGAGATCCAGATTCCAGTTCTGCCTGTGTGGATCTTTATCAATGTGATTTTGCAAAAGTCCTTCACCCTTTCTAGGCTTCACATTCTTCATTTATATCTTCACATTCTCAGAGTAAATGATTTCTGAGTTACTTTGGGACTCTAAAAACTTGTCAGTGGCTGATTTGATTTCTCATTTCCTGCAGGGAGGAGGCAGAGATAATTTTTTTGTTTACAAAGAACAAGTTTTCATCTTGCAGCCTTTAATACAAAAGCAGGAGAAAGAAATGTAATCGTGCCAAGGTAATGGCAGCCTTGCTTTGTTTGGATTCGGGGTCTCTGATACGACATATTGGATGTGTCAATGGAATGTGATTTATTTTGCTTCATAACATTTGGGAACAGATATTTGGTATTTCATCCAAGGAAAGCAATTTGCAGAAACCTTTTAGAAGGTGGCTGGAGCATCAGTAATCGCTGCCATTTCTTTATGCCAACATTTCCTTAAAGCTCCACAATCTTTCATGTTAATCATCCCTCTCAGCAGGCTCCTTCTAGGGCTTTGGAGCGGGCACCCACCCCTCAGAAATGAGGTTCTATTTTTAAAGTCCACCAGCTAACAATCTCCCTATTAATCGTGTGAAATCTGCTCAGATGGCTGCTCTTCTGGGTTCTCCGTGCCCCCCTCCCCTGCTCTCAAGCCCCATCTGCACAGCCCTCCCCCGGAAGATATTTTTAGCTCTTAGCAGCTACATCCTTGAGAATCACTAGGCGGATGCTACACTTTTCTCTCAAGTAAACATTTTAGAGATTCAGGTTTTCATTCCTAATATTTTTCGAAAAGATTAAGGATGCAGCTCCCTCATACAGGTGCCTAAAAAATTAGTTTGGACTCTGAAGCCTTTATCGACCTTGGAATCCTTCCCACTTCCAAGGAGATAAATACCCTATTTATTCAAAGGTACTTAGTCGTTTGCTTATGTGAGTCAGCGGTGACTTTGACCCATTGTTCCAGGCAGTCTCTGAAAGGCAGCCTTGGGAACTATTTTGGGAGTGGGGAAATCTGGGATCTCCCGCTTGCGCTTGTGTACATTTCCCCTAAGCATTCAAATCTGAAATCAGTAAACACAGATGCCTCTTTAGGACCACTGTGTTAGGACGCAGCAATGACGGCTTTTTAAGAGCACGACATGGTAGCCCAGGAAGCTACAATCATCACAATATTTTCAAGCATCTGTGGGAATTCCAAGGAATAATATGAATAGCAGTCCTTGACTACCCATCTTCCGTAACAAAAACTGTATTGTTTAGCATGTTAATCCCTGTTTTGGTTTGCGGATTAGTCTTTTAAAATATTTTTAAATTGGGGCTTAAGCCACGGTGACTTGGTTGGTTAAGCATCTGACTTCCCTCAGGTCATGATGTCACACTTAGCCCCATGTCAGGCTCTGTGCTGACAGCTCGGAGCCTGGAGCCTGCTTCGGATTCTGTGTCTCCCTCTCTCTCTGCCCCTCCCCCACTCGTGCTCTGTCTCTGTCTCTCTTTCAAAAACAAATAAACATTAAAATTTTTTTTAATTTCTCTTCTTAACGTTTATTTGTTTTTGAAAGAGAGACAGAGACAGAGCACGAGTGGGGGAGGGGCAGAGAGAGAGGGAGACACAGAATCCGAAGCAGGCTCCAGGCTCCGAGCTGTCAGCACAGAGCCTGACGCGGGGCTCAAACCCACAAACCGTGAGATTGTGACCTGAGCCACCCACGCGCCCAAAAAATTAAAATCTTTTTAAGTAGGTTGTAGATATATGTGGGAAAAAATTCTAGGAGAAAAGGGTAAACGGTGGAAGTAGTTCCCCTCTTCTATCCTGTGCCTGATGTCCTTCCAAGTATTCTTGTGTGTATGTTCCTATATATTATATTACATATATAATATTGAATTATATTATATTACACCAACACATACATATACGCATTTATAAACAAGCATGTACATAAGGTGACTCTTCATTGTTTTACCACAAATATTGTGCACATTGTTTTGTATCTTCCTCTTCTCATTAAACATTTTATCTTGGAGAACATTCTGCATCAAAACATGTAATCTGTCTCCTTTTTCATAAATGGCTGCATTATATTTCAGTACCTGAATGAGCCAGAATTTATTTAACAAATCCTGGAAACTGGCTTCTAATTTGCAAAGGATACTGCAGGAGAATGAAAAGTGCTTCTTCTCTACCAGGTATCAGGTTAATCACGGATTGGTTCCTTGGGGGCTGCTTTTTGAGTTTCTGGGAATTCTGTTTTGGGTTGGGCCACGGTCTCTTCCATTCCCATGTTCTTCCCTTTCTCTTTTGTCTACAAAACCTTCAGTAAATCCAGGTGGATTTCTGTCTGGTGATATTGTTGAAAATCAGTCCAAAATGCCTCCGGAAGGTGAGTTCTCCATAAATAAATAAATAACTCTCCCAGTGAAGAAATCCTGATTGTTTAGCTAAGATGTGTTTGTTTCTCTGGCTTATGTTTCCTACGGTCTGTATTTGACTAGTACAGCAATCTTCCATTTGTTCTTCTTGTTCAGAGCCTGTGGTATATTTTCTGTAGTCTGGACACTGTTCCAGGAACCACAGGAGAGATGCATCCTCGCAGAAGCCTTGGCATTTGTCAAAAAATGAGCAGTGTGGGGCAACAGAGCCAGGCACCCGCAGGAGCCCAGGAAGTACTGGATGGCAGCTGTTGGATGGCCCCAATGACTTTGGAAGCTCGGATATCCGTGCTGACTGCATGCACTGTCTCCTGTCTGGGGATGAAGTGAGAGGACTCTTCAATGAAAAAGCACAGCTGGCTCTGAGGTGACATTTTCTAAAGCAGCCTTGGCATACAACTCCATTTACCTGCCTTGGTTTACAGAAGGAAACGAGGCTGCTTCTACCCCACTTCCCTCAACGCATTGTAGGTCTTGAGTCTTATGTGAATTGATGTCTGGACTGACACATTTTTGGGTAGAGCATCCCCAACACACCAGCAGATGGCTGGCACACCTGTTTTCCTGAGTCTTGGTTCAAAACACAATTCAGCATTTCACTTGTTCAGGATTTCCGTGTCACATTTTGCACCTTTCCTCGAGACTGTGCAGAAAGATAAACTGTTTGTGAACACAAATTATTGTCATTTAAAAATAATAACTTATATTAGTGTTTTTCACATTTTTCACATGACAGCTGTCTTAACTTGGGTCCTTAGAAACAAAACCTGAGCTAGGGATTTTGTGCAAGGGATGTATGGCAGAGGGACTTGATCTCAGAAGGAACCTGCATGGGAACAAAGAGCAAGATGGACAGGGGAAAAGTCAGGCATGGATATAGGCTCCAGTGGACTCTAGATTGGCTTCATCTGGCTTGAAAGTTCTGAAACACAAAGTGTACCATGTAGCTGCTCCCTTTGAGGTCAGGTGCTCATCTTTTCTACTCACATATTGGTCAATCATCATCATTTCCTGGAGGGAGGGGAAAACCTCCAGGCATTTCCAGGGGGCTCCCCAGAGGGCAGTTCTCCTGCAAAGGGCATCACTGCAAACTATTAGCAGCCAACAGTCAAAGCAACTGGAAGACAGGTGCACCATTGCTCAATGGGGTCTGAGTGGGAATGCACAGCACCACCACAGCCCATTATGTGTAGGTAATTACTTTGCATTGTAACTTATACACATAGATACACAAATAGAGCTATATACTAAAAAAAAAAAAAAAAAAAAAAAAAAAAAAAAAAAAAAAAAAAAAAATTAAAAAAAAAAAGTTTCCCAAATAATGCTTATTTATCTACCTGTGGGTCGATGTGAATAATTTAAATGATTTTTATTTTATTCTAGTCTATTTTAATTCATAAAAAAAATCAGTAGTCATGGCTCACTATTAGGTGGCAACCTGCAGTTTGTAAAAGCTTGATTTGTAGCTAAATACTCTTTAAAAGCCAATCATTTTTAAGTGATTTAATTAGATTTATAGTGATACTTAAAAAAATTTTTTTTTAAAGTTTATTTATTTTTGAGAGCTGGAGAGACAGAGCATGAGTGGGGGTGGGGCAGAGAGAGAGAGGAAGATACAGAATCCGAAGCAGGCTCCAGGCTCTGAGCTGTCAGCACAGAGCCCAACGCGGGACTCAAACTCATGAACCGTGAGATCATGGCCTGAGCAGAATTTGGATGCTTAACCGATTGAGCTACCCAGGTGCCCCTATAATGATACTTCTAATGTCACATAACTGGAGTGATGATATAATTGATCAACCAAATTGGAACCCTTTTATTTGCAATTATGCCAGAACAGCAGGCATTTACCAGGCCTGTCTGAAAAAATAAAAAATAAAAAACCCAAAAAACCCAGCATTCATATTCATCCTATTAAAAGCTACTAGAAGTAGTTTTTTTAGTGAGTGTCTATGGACCACTTATTGTATACATTGAGCTGACAAGAGGATGTGAAACAAAATGGAAAGTATCTTCCTTTGGGGAAACAGACATGAATCAAATATAGTCACATAAGCAGAGGAAAACCAGCAACTATGTTATCAAGAAGTTGGTTTCCATGAAGGGGGGTTGACAGAATCAGGGAAAGTTTCCCAGAGGAAGTGATACATGAATCTCACTGAGATTCAAAGAACAGATAAAGATGTAACCAGATAAAAAAGGTCAGGAAGGACCATTCCACTCTGAAGCAACAGCATATGCAAAGGCCCAGTGGCAGTAAAAAGCAAGGTGGGCATGAGTGACTAGAAGGTGTACCCTGTCATTTATTTTATCTGTCGGTCTTCATTTTATTTCTTTCATCCAATAGCAGTGTTCTAGTACATAGGATATATCAGGGAATATGACAGATAGGTTCCCTGTTCCCTTTGGGTTTATATGTTGGAGTGTGGATATGCAGGTGGTCAATAGGTAATAAAAGAGGAAAGAAATAACTGATGTAATTTCATATAGTGACAAGAGCCAGGAAGAAAATAAAATAGTGCCATATAATGGAAAGTGACTGTGTGGTCAGGGAAGAGTGTGCCAGAAAGGGGGCATTTGAACTGGGACAGAATGACAAGGAGGGACCAGGCAAATACTGATGCAGAACATTCTAAGCAATAAAAACAGCCAGTTCAACATCCCTGGGATGAGAATGAGCATGGTGAGTTTCAGGAACTGAAACAAGAGTTTTTTAAACACTTAGACATTCAGAGAAAAGAGGAGAGATGGGGGTCAGTCATGCAGGGTCTTCAGGCAATTTTGAGGACTTTGGAGTATACTCCAAGTGTATTGTGAAGTCATGCAAGAGTTTTAGGAGGGAAGTGGCAGGGTGAAATTTGTGTTGTCAAAGTTGACTGATTGCTGTGAGAGGAATGGGTGGTAGAGGCAAAGAGTAGAACCCAAGAGGCTTGTGAGGAGGCAAGAGATCACAGGGGCTTGGACTAGGGTGGTAGCATGGAAGATGGAGAGAACTGGATGAATCATGATATATTTTGAAGGTAGAACAAACTGGATGTCGTGGAAGGAACAAAATCAAGAATATGCTCTTATTTTGCTGGGTCAGATCACCTAGAACGTTTTGCATCTTAGGGAGCAAAAGAGAAAGCAGGATTATGGTGCTAATGAATAAAAACAGTGGGAGCATTTCAAGAAGGAAAGAGATTGAACTCTTTTGCGAGCTACTGAGTGACCATTGGAATTAGCAACAGACAATGATCTTCAACATTGGAACGGTCTGTTTCAGTGTAGTGTTGGTGACAAAATGATGACTGGAGGTTTCACTCCTCCCTAAGACTAGAGATGACATTGTATTTTTAGAACTTTCTTGTTGTGGTAAAAAAAATTCATAATTTACTATCTAATTTTAAGTGTACAGTACAGTAGTCTTAGATCTCTAGAACTTTTACATCTTGCAGAATTGAAACTTTATATCCATTGAAAAACGTCTCCCCCTTTTGTCCCTCTCCCAACCCTTGGTACCAACCATTCTACCTTCTAAGAGTTTGACTATTTTCAGTATTCATATAAATGTGGAAGTATTTATTATTTGTGATTGGCTTTATTTCACTTACCATAATGTCCTCAAGGTTCATCCATGTTGTAGCATGTGATAGGGTTTCTTTCTTTTTAAAGAAATATTCCATTGAATAATATTCCATTATATGTGTAAACCACCTTTTTCTCCCTTAACCATTCATCTGTTATGGACATTTAGGTTGCTTCCATCTCTTGCCTATTTTAAATAATTTTCTTTTGAATATGGGTGTGCAAATATCTCTTCAAGATCCTGTTTTCAATTCTTTTGGATAGATACCCAGATGTGTGATTGCTGGATTATATGGTATTTTAAATTTTTTGAGGACCACCATACTGTTTCCATAGTGGCTGTACCATTTTATATTCCTACCAACAGTGCAGAAGGGTTCTAATTTCTCCGCATCCTTACTGATTCCTTGCTAGTAATCAGGTCTGTTAATTTTTGGTCAGTTGTATGTTTCTATGAATTTATCCATTTATTATAAGTTGTCAAATTTGTTGGTGTATTTGTTGGTGTATGTTGTACTTAATAGTCTCTTATGATCCACTGTATTTTTGTGATATCAGTTGTAAATCTCTTTCATATTTTTGATTTTATTTATTTGAGCATTCTCTCTTTTTTTCTTGTTGAGGCTAGCTAAAGTTTGGTTAGTTATATTTATCTTTTCAAAGAAACAGCTTTTAGTTTCATCGATCTTTTCTATTGTCTTTATAGTCTCTGTTTCAGTTATTTCTGCTCTAATCTTTGTTATTTCTTCCCTGTACTAATTTGGGATGTTGTTTGTTCTTCTTTTTCTAGTACCTTGAGGTGTAAAGTTAGGTTGTTTATTTGAGACTTCTCTTGTTTTTTGAGATAGGCATTTATTGCTATGAACTTCTCTCTTAGAACTGCTTTGGCTGCTTTCCATTAATTTGGTATGTTACATTTTCATTTTCATTTGTCTCAAAGTTTTTTTTTTTTAACTTCTCTTGATTTCTTTCTCAGCCTACTGTTCACTGGCATGTTAAACTTCCACATATTTGTGAATTTTTTTTTGTTTTCTTCATGTAATTAATTTATAGTTTTATACAATTGTGTTTGGAAAAATGCTTGATATGACTTCAGTCCTTTTAAATTTATTAAAACTTGTTTTGTGGCTTAACATATGATCTATCTTGGAAAATGTTCCATGTGCACTTGAGAAGAATATGTATTCTATTGCCTTTGGATAGAATGTTCTGCAAATATCTGTTAAATCTATCTGGTCTAACATGTCATTTAAGGCCAAAGTTTGCTTATTGATTTTCTGAAAGGATGATCTATCCATTGATGTAAGTGGGATATTATTCTATTATTATTTTACTGCTGTCTCTTTGTCCCTTTAGGTCTGTTAATATTGGCTTTATATATTCAGGTGCTTATATGATGGGTGAATAAATATTTAAAAATGTTATATCCTCTTATTGGACTGATCCCTGTGTTATTATGTAACACCCTTCTTTGTCTCTTATTACAATCCTTATTTTAAAGTCTATTTTGTCTGATGTAAGTATAGCTACTCTAACTTTCTTTTGGTTTCCATTTGCATGGAATATCTTTTTCCATCCCTTCACTTTCAATCTGTGTGTGTTCTTACACCTAAAGTATGTCTCTTGTATGCAGTGAATATGGGACTCATTCTTTGGGTTATTATTTTTATTAAAAAAATTTTTTTTACATTTATTTATTTATTTATTTTTATTTTTTATTTTTTAAAATTTACATCCAAATTAGTTAGCATGTAGTGAAACAATGATTTCAGGAGTGGATTCCTTAATGCCCCTTACCCATTTAGCCCATCCCCCCTCGCACAACCCCTCTAGTAACCCTGTTTGTTCTCCATATTTATGAGTCTCTTCTGTTTTGTCCCCCCTCCCTGTTTTTATATTATTTTTGTTTCCCTTCCCTTATGTTCATCTGTTTTGTCTCTTAAAGTCCTCATATGAGTGAAGTCATATGATTTTTGTCTTTCTCTGACTAATTTCACTTAGCATACTACCCACCAGTTCCATCCACGTAGTTGCAAATGGCAAGATTTCATTCTTTTTGATTGCCGAGTAATACTCCATTGTATATATATACCTCATCTTCTTTATCCATTCATCCATCGATGGACATTTGGGCTCTTTCCATACTTTGGCTATTGTTGATAGTGCTGCTATAACCATGGGGGGTGCATGTGTCCCTTCGAAACAGCACACCTGTATCCTCTGAATAAATGCCTAGTAGTGCAATTGCTGAATTGTAATATTATGAACAATTACATGCCAATAAAATAGGTGATCTGGAAGAAATGGACAAATTCCTAGAGACATATACACTACCAAAACTGAAACAGGAAGATATAGAAAATTTGAACAGACCCATAACCAGTAAGGAAATCGAATTAGTAATCAAAAATCTGCCAAAAAACAAGAGTCCAGGGCCAGATGGCTTTCCAGGGGAATTCTACCAAACATTTAAGGAAGAGTTAACACCTATTCTCTTGAAACTGTTCCAAAAAATAGAAATGGAAGGAAAACTTCCAAATTCTTTCTGTGAAGCCAGTGTTACCTTGATTCCAAAACCAGACAGAGACCGCAGTAAAAAGGAGAACTATAGACCAATTTCCCTGATGAACATGGATGCAAAAATCCTCAACAAGATATTAGCCAACCGGATCCAACAATACATTA